CTTTTCACACAAAGATGCTTGTGTCCCATTGGCAGAGTAGGCTTGAGTTGTTTTTTTAAAAACACTTTTATTCTGTTTAAGTGTTGTGTGCATTTCTGATTCAATGCAGTGTGCTGTCTGAAATGTCTGTGGCACTTTCCTCACCGCCCATTTCCAGCATGTTCTATTACAGCTTTTAAAATATGTTTTTATTGTCCTAACTTTTGAGCTATTTATCAATGCCGTGTAACATCACTGTAACACCAATCAGTGCTAGTAATGACCACTGCCCAATCAACTACTTGAGAGCCAGCACAGTGTAGTAGAGTGTCGAACTACGATCTGGGAGATCCAGGTTTGAACACCCACTCTACCATGGAAGCTTGCTGGGTGACTTTAGACCATTCACCTAGTCTCAGCCTAGCCTACCTCACAGGGTTGTTGTGAGGTTAAAATGGAGGAAAGGGAAATATTATGGTTTCCTATACTGTAAGATCAACCAATGTCTGAGGTTTGAATAGTAAAATTAAACTGAAAATAATTTCCACTTTCCTGATGAAGTCAAAACCAGATATAGTAATGATGCAGGAGACCCATATAATGTCAAAGGATAAAAAACTGTTTAATGCTTCTTGGTTCCCCCAACAGTTTTATAGCCCAGGTACTTCCAAGGCCTGTGGAGTTGCCATCCTGTTGGCTAAGACATTTCAACTTCAGATTCTCAATACTTTAATTGATTTAAGAGGACGATATCTCTTTATAAGGGATCCTTAGAAGATCACCTTGGCAACAATATACGCACCAAATACCTTACAAGAGGAATTTCTACAAGAATTTTTTTTAAAAATTAAAACAGTTTGCGGAGGGGCCTATTATACTAGGAGGTAATCTTCATATGAACTGCGATTCTAAACTTGATAAATCTGACCCAGTAAGAGTCAAGAAATCTATCAACTCTAAGACAAAGACTAGACTTGCAGAATTATTACAACAAAATGAGTTTGTGGACTTGTGGCGGATATTACACGGAGAGGAGAGGAATTATACATATTTTCTCCCCCCCATTCTAGTTACTCGAGGATAGACTACATTCTTTGTTCACAGTCTATTTTAAAAAATTTTCATGATGTTCACATTGGTCCATTTGTATGGACAGATCATGCATTGGTACAAGCACATTTACACTTACCAATCAGAATTAGCAAAGGAAACATTGGAAATTCAACAATTCCATTTTATTGGAGGAGCAATATAGAATGCAGCTGCAAAAAGAAATTGCTCAATTTTGGGAGGTTAATGATATTGGAGAGCCAGAAATCCAAACTACTTGGGATGCCTTTAAGGCAGTGGTGCAGGGAAAATGTATTGTGCTTAGTTCCCATTTGAAAAAGGAAAGAGAGCATAAATCTAAATTACTGTTGGAAAAAATTAAAAAGTTAGAACACTTGCATAAGGAAAAATGTGATAAAAATCTATAAATCATTATTGGCAAAGTGGAAAACATCAGAACTAATTGAAAATATGAAAATTCATCAAGGAATATTATCTGTAAAGCAGATGCAAAGGCAGAAGACCCCAAAATCATTAAAGTTGTTGCTTGGAAGGTGAAAAAGAAGCGTGAAGACAGACAAATTTTTGCTATCAAAGATTACAAGGGTAACACACAAACTTCTATTAAGAACATAACTCAATGCTTTTTAGAATATTATACCTCTTTGTATACTTCGTCATTTCCTTCAGTAGATAAAATTAAAAATTTTTAGAACAGCAAAAATGTATTCAAAAATATCTAAACAACATAGAGAGCTATTGGAGAAACTGATTTCATTTAAGGAGGTGCAAGAATTTATATCACAAATGAGACCTAATACGGTGCCGGGTCAGGATGGTTTTATGGTGGAATTTTTAAAGACCTTTTCCAAAGACATGATACCTTTTTTCACCCGCTTATGTAACAAAATAATGAACTCTGGGAAAATGCCCTTAACTTGGAATGAGGCTGTTATTATTACTATTCCGAAAGAGGATAAAGATAGGATGTCCCCTGCCTCATATCGGCCAATTTCTCCCTTAAATAATGATTATAAAATTTTCTCCAAGGTTCTTGCTAAAAGACTTCAGAGCATAATTACCAAAATGGGTTCATCCCCAACAGGTCAATTATGGATATTAGATGACTGTTAAATATTATAGCTTTTCCCCAATCACAATCACACGAAGCCACAGTTTTATCGACTGACCTGGAAAAGGCTTTCGACAGTGTGGAATCTCCATTTCTTTATTCTGTGTTAGAAAGTATGGACTTTGGCCCAAAGTTTAAGAAATCAATCAATGCTCTGTATGCCTCTCCGACTGCAAAATTACAAATTAACAACTTTGTGATTCTTTCCCTCTTTCTAAAGGAATAAGACAGGGTTGCCCGATGTCCCCGCTCTTGTTCACATTAATAATAAAACCCCTAGCTACTATAATTAGGGAACATGGAAGAGTTGAAGGGATTAAAATAAGCAGTGTGGAGAATAAAATCAGTTTATATTCTGATTGATCTAATTCCAACATTAATTGATATTTTTACTCAATTTCATGCTTTCTTTGGTTTGAAGATGAATCTAAATAAATCGTTCATGGTTCCTATTAACATCCTTAGACAAACAAAAGAACAACTAGGTTTCCAGTTCTCATTTCCTTGGAAGGAAGTCAAATGGAAATACCTTGGGGTTCAAATTCCAGCCAAACTTGACCTTAGTGATTTAATCCAGGTTAACTTTGAAGCCCTTCATAAAGAAATTAAAACCCAACTAAAAATTGTGCATAAACAAAGTTTTTCACAAATTGATAGATTGCAAATAATTAAGAGTATTATTCTACCTAAATATTTGTTCTTATTTTGTGCTTTGCCTATACCTATTCCTAGTAAATTGATATCTAAATGGCAATCTTTACTGATAAATTTTTTTTGGACTTATAAATCCCTGAGAATAAAACTTAAAGTGATTTCTAGCTCTAAAACACAGAGAGGTCTACATTTCCCAAATCTGTAGCTCTATTATGAAGTGGTGATTTTGACAAACCCAGAAGAACAAACTAGCAACATATTGAAGAAGCCTTTTGTGACAACCGTACAATCTTAGAAACCTTTTGGAATGTATGTACAAATAGAACACCTTTAATTTAAAAAAAATCAATTTCTAAACATCTCTCTGAAAATCTGGGATAAATATAGAAATGATCTTTTACCTTTAATTTCTAGATATGCTTTTTATACCAATCAAGCATGGTTTCTGTCAGCTCAAGGTAATTCTCCTTTTAGACACTGGTATTCCAAAGGTTTTGCTAGATTGGTGGATTTTATACTGAATAGCCAAATTCTCTCCAAACTACAGATCGAGGCGAGCTTGCAACAAAAAATATCTTTATTAAACTATTATCAAATTAGACATACTTTAGAATAGTTAGGAATAATGAGAAATTGGGAAACGCCTCTAACCACTCTAGAATTACTTTTTAAGCAAAGAGAGAGAAGCCAGAAAGGTCTGCTATCTAAAATATATAAATTATTATTGTCTTTGCAAAAGAATTTTAGCTTATCGGGGGGGAAAGCATGGATAGCAGATTCTGATGGTAGAATCACTGGAGATGATTTTGATAAAGCCTGCAAGGCCCCAAGTTTTAACTCCAAGATTGCATCAATCCATTTAAAATCTTACATAGAAGCTATTCAACTAGAATAGCTAAATTTTCAAAAAATCTGAGTAAAAATATTGGAAAGGTTGTGGCTTGATGGGAGATTTCGTGCATTGTTTTTGGTTGTGCCCCTCTATTAAAAGATTTTGGAATAAAGTAATAGGTCAAATTGAGATAATAGTTGGTCAACAGATCTCAAAAAATCCAGAAAACATCCTTTTAGAAATAGGCTTAACAGAACAGCGTAAAAAAAAGACAAGCTGGGCACAATAACAACTTTGTTAGTCATTGTGAGGTTAGAGATTGGTAAGGAATGGAAACAGAAGCAAGGGCCTTCAATACAAAATTGGAATGACTATCTGGAACCACTTTATGCTGGGTAAAATAGATTATTCTACAGGCATTCAGAATTTTGATGTTTAATGTAAAAATTTTCAAGCAATTTGGTCTCCTATTATTAAATTTTTACAAGATAAGGAAATTGTTTCATCTAATATACATTGCAAGGAGTTACTGAATGTTTTGACTTAAGACAGTATGTAGTAATGAATATATTTTGGATCTTTTCTCTGTATGTTGTACTTGACTATGGATAGAAGAAGTAGTTTATATTTATGATGATTTATGGTTCAGTTTTGTAATGAACAAACCTTGTTTCTATGAAGCTTGACAGCTGCTGACACCATATCACTGTATTGCTATATTCATATATTGCTAGTTAGAGCTTGAAAAAAACAACCTGGAATGTGCTGGAAATGGGTGCAGGGGGAAAAGATGGCAAGGTTTGAAAAGGACAGAGCATTTCAGATACAGTTCATAAATCAATGTAAATACTCTTTGGAACTTCCCGCCCCACATCGCTTTACATGGAATTGGGGTAGCAATGGATAACAGCCAGGTTAAAATGACAATGTGAAAGAACTCCATTACAATAGTTTCTACAGACCTAGTGTAACATGTAACCATCTGTAGACATAAATATGCTTAGTCTAGCGGGAATTTGGAAAATGATGTGCCACAGATTGCCTCATATGCAAAAAAAATTAATAATCCTGATACAGTATGCTCCTGAAAAGGCAGATGTTGGACAATTAAATATTAGTTATTCCAGGAGCCTGGACTATGGAGCCATCTCTGCATCTTGTTTTTTCTACAACCATCTGAAGCATTGTTTGATTTAAGATTGCACCCAGATGGATTTTCCCCCTGCACTACAGCTTTACCACCACAGGTTTTTCGATAAGAAAACAAATCACACATTTGTATTTGTTTTACTATTTTAATGTTCAATGCCTTTCCTTAGCCAAAGTTTGTCTAAAGATCTTTTAACTCTCTTGTTGAAAAATTCAGAAGGACCACATCATTAAAGCTGTCTTTCAGTATCCATTAGGGTTTCCACCCTTTGTTCAATATAAACCTGTCAATCATATCCAAAGATCTTTCTGGCTGGTCATAGGGCAGGATGTGTCCTCCACCTCGAACAATGACCTGTAGAATTATAAATTAAAAATACAATACATTAAAAAATAAAGTCCAAGAAAAAGAAATGTTGCTGCCTATACAGTGTAACTTTGGTCTTTATAAATATGCCCCCAAAATTACATCCAGGATTTTGTAGCTGTGCTAATCCTGCAGAATGATATGCACAGAACAGATAAAAGTTTATTATATTAATGCAGCAGATGCAAACAACACTTCATAGTGTTAACAAAAATGAAATAGGTTGCACAATGAAATGAAACAGATGAGTAATAAATGAAAAAAGTTCCACATATATGTACACACAGCCTTCCATGTACAACCCACGCTCTGTGTTCCCCATTTCCCATGTCCACAGCTAATACTGTTGAAGCCTTGTTTATCTACATTGGTCCTTTCTAATTTTTTTTTATTCCCCGGAGGGATATTTTTTATTTTGCAAATACTAAAAAAACTACAAATATTAGGAAAGAGACTACAACTAAGGATAAAGGAAAGCAAACCACACTAAACTAAAACCCCAAGAGGAGGAGATCTTTTCAGTGTTATTAAAAATGTTAGTACTATAAGTGTTAATATCACAATATACTTGTAGAGTTCTTGCTTATAACAATTCACTATTTATATGTTATTTTATTAGTTATTATGAGAGAAATCTCTGATCATCTTGTTCTTCGTTTCAAAAGGCCATTTTCCAAGTCCTTCTGCCTCTAATTTGGCATTCTGTCTCTGAAATCGTATACCACTCTGGCAGGTCCTGCACCCTTTTCTGCCGCAAAGTCCTCTTTCGTTCCAGAGGTAGCGGAGTCACTAGACTTCGTTTCTTCCTCTTTGGACTCTTCATCTGTCCCCAGCTGACGTCTCAAAAATTCTTTAGCTTTAAAAGTGGAGTCTATATTCTCTCTTCTATCGTTGATCTTAAAGATGACACCCTCTGGAACCGCCCATCTGTATGATATCCCATTAGTTTGAAGGAAAGAAATTAAGTCCTTGTAATTTTTTCTCTTTTGTCTAATTTCAAATGGAATATCCTTTAAGGTTTTGATGGTTACATTTTCCATTTTTAGTGGAGTTGCTGATATTGCTTTTAAAATGGCACCTCTGGTTTGTCTTCTTGAAAACCTGACCACTATTTCTCCAGGTAGGCTATTTTTTTTTATGTAACTGGAGTATGCCCTATAGGCTGACTCCATTTCGTTTACAAGTTCATCCGCTGTTAAGCCTACTACTGGAGTGATGATCTCACTAAGTACCCTCTTCAGGTCTTCCCGATCTGTTTCAGGAACTCCCTGAAACCTGAGAATCATGTTAGCTTTTTCCATCTGTAGCTGCAAAACTCGATTCTCTTGGAAATTCTGCTTTGATTCCACATCTCCCATCCTTTTCTTCAACTTCTTGCTTGTGGTGTCTATCTCTTTAATTTTCTCGTTTGCCTGCTCCACTTTTTTCTCTGTTTCGTTCAGCTGAAGCTGCTGTGCGCTGCAAAGTTTTTATTCATCACGGTCAATTGCTGGTTAATACCATCGAGTTGTTCTATCACTGGCATGAGCATATCTGCCAGGAGTTTGAGGACATCTGCTCCCTCTTCCGGTTTCAGACTCTGACTGTCCGGCTTCGTTTTAAACTTTTTCTGCTGGGCCGCCATCTTTCCCATTTTGTTTACAGTTTCTGCCGCTTCCATGCAACTCGGAAAAACTCGCCAAACGACTTCGCAATTCAGATAAGTCTCTCAAAACACTTTCGGTTTACTTCCTCCCCTCTCCCCCTTCGTGTCCGTTAGCTGCTCATTCGCATAAGAGGCGTCCCTCTTTGCAATCTCTTTTTTCAACCGCGGGGGGGGGATCGCTTTTCAAACTACTCCGTTTTATTCAGAACTCACGTTAATTGTCGGTCAGTTTCTCTGACCGGCTCGGTTTTACGCCATTCTGCTCAATCTCCGGCATTTGTCCTGATCAGTCCAGCTTGTGCCCGAAGGCCACTCAGCGACTGGAATTTCGGGGCAGAGGGGAGCCTCAATTCTCCGGCATTACGCCATCGAAGAGGCTACCCCTCAAAAGCCCCCTGGCCTGGAGCCTATCACAAAGGCTCCGCAGGGGTGTCACTTGAGGTGGCTGGTGTGCGATTCGCCCTTCCCTGTTGTGGGGAAAGCGTCCGCCATCGCTGATCCGTAGACCGGAAGTCTACATTGGTCCTTTCTATTGAACTGCTTCTAGTGTTTGCTGTTTGTCCAAGCCCAAGTCCCACTTTATGTTTTGAGGATGGCTATATTTGCACAAATCCAAACTATACACGTGCCACCTGCAGTAAATGGGAAGTATATGCATCTTCAAAAAAAGACAAAGGATTGGGCTACCACATAAGCAATTTTTCAGGGGATATTCAGTGCCATATACATGCCTTCATAATGGTTGGCTGTCTATGGATAGGTATTCTGGACCAAAAAATGAAGCAAGAATTGGCCTGTAGGCTGCGGATGTATTTCGAGCTCAAAGGAAGTGGCAGTAAATTAAGTAAACTGTCTTGATAAGGATAACATAAGACAACATTTTCCCTGTAATGTGTGTGGTTTTGTTGAATTCACATACACCATCCACATAAGATACTTCCAATGTACTCCTAAAAACACGAAGCAGCTCTTGAGGAACTTGATCAGATATTTTCCCATCACTATATGCTAGAAGTAAACAACAATGGGGCAACATCATAATGTTCCTCCAGAGAGGATCTTTGCCGGCGGCCACAAAGTCTGGAGTCTTGAAGGAGAAAAAGAGCCAGACTTCCGTCTTGGCAGCACTCTGGCACAGTGACTTCTGTGGAAGAACAGTTAGCTGAAGGACACTGAAGTGATATTTGATTTTATAATACAGCCTTTAGGTTTGGCAGCAAAGCTCTCTATTAAATCTGCTGTTAAAAAAAAAGGTCACAGTGCCACTTCCTCACTAGCATTAACACAGAAAGGGTTGGGGTTTTTTTTGGGGGGGGGTTAAATCTCTACCATATAAATCTTCCAAGAGTTTAGTCAGTTGATGCTCAATTTGCATCACAGATCTCTGCTTCAGTATAAGCACTGAAGCCAGAACTGGCACCCTTACCAAGATGACAAGCAACATTCATAAGCTGTGATCCAGAATAGATATAATTTAAAGAGAGAACTTTGTGAATTCAGAGCTTCCAGAGCAGAGATCAGAAGGCCTACTTGTATGAGCACAGTAGTAGTCTTCTACAAATGCACAAGACTTCTAACACACATTACAAAAATATACAGCAACCATGAGTTTTTACACCTTGCACTTACCACATACCCCCCCCCCAAGTCTGGGTTGCACAGACTTCCTTCTAACATGCACACACTAATCTAGGGTATCTATATGATTAGGATGGGGACTTCTCCATAAATGCCTCCCTGATAGGGTTGCCAGCCCCCAGGTCCCAGCAGGGGTTCCTCCACTTTTTGGGGCTGTAATCAACCGCTGGCCAGCTGGCAGGTGGGGAAAACCCCACCCCCAAATAGGGATGTTGTTGGGCAACATTCCCTGGAAGTGACGTCATTGTGTCAATTCCATCGTGCACGGTGCTCTGGTTTTGGGGCAAACTCTATGATTTTGAAGCCAAAAACCCATAGAGTTTTTGCCCAAAAACCAGAGCGTCACAAGCAATATCGCCAATGTGATGATGTCACTTTCAGGTGACATCATCACATCAGAACATTGCCTGACGACATCCTGCCCACGCCCAGAACACTCCCCAAATCCCCCTGTCACGATGGTAAGGGGACCTGGCAACTCTATTACCTGATTGGTGGGGAGAGCTGCATCTGGATTGCTGTTGCACCAAGAAGATGTATGTGAAAATTACCTTCAACATACATTCATAGAAATAAAAAAGGGCTTATGTGATTTTATTACACATGTAGCCTCCCCAACAGCCAACACACACTTTGTTTTCTCTCTTAGGGTTAACACTGCACAATTAGTTTGTGTGTCAGATTCAGAAAAATACTGAAGACACGGGGATATAGCCACAGCACCGCATCTTGGCTTTGTCAAGAAAAGCACATCCTTTCAAGGGTTGAGAGAGAGTTCAGGTTTCATGCACAATCCACTGCTGGTCTTTCCCTTTGCAGGAACCAGATGTGGTAATTTATTTGGGATGCACACTCTACCCTTATGTTAACTTGCTTTAAACCGCAGCCACCACACTCATTTTAATTTGGCTTTGGGATCAGTTTGAAACACAAATGTTGGCTATACTTTACATCCTTCCAGACGGTGCTCCTCACTCTTATCCAATCACAGCCCTCACTAGACACTGCTAAACGCTCCATGGAGGCTGTTCCAGGCTTGAACCTTAATTACAAAAGTGGGGGGGGGGAATCACAAAAAGGACTGTTTCAGTCATAGCAGTAAACAGCTGCACTTCTCCTTCTTTTCCATCCAGCTTCAAAGACACACAAACAGTATGGGGGGGGGGAATTGGCCAACAGAGTTCACAGGGCTCTGTTCCAAATGGCATCCACACACGGCAGAAAAGGAACAGTAGACTGCAAAGCCTTTGCTTATATTTACTATGACCCAAATTTCCTCTTTGACCTCCACATTTGGATGTAAAGGAGGGCAGCGGCTGTAGGATGTCACAGTGCTGCCTGATCATGGATCTTCAAAAGACCTAAAAGGAGGCTAAATCCCAGTATGTTAAAAATATGCATCTGCTGGTCAGATGCTTTAACCATATCATGAATGTAAAATGGCTTTGTTAATGTACATACACAGAAGTGATTTGTACCTCAGTCAGTTCAAGGAATAAAAAGAAGAAGCTCAACTGCTTGACAAACTGGCTGCAATTTATATGCTCAGGGTTAAAATGTCAGCCCCAGGGTGTAGACAAACTCGTCAGCAACCAACTTCCTGCTTGGTAGAGGGATGGAAAGCAGGAGCCAGTGTGAAATATACTGGGTTCAGATGCGTAGAAGTGATCAGCTCATAGTTTATTAGTGATTCAGCAAGAGAAAG